TACCCATTTCGTTCGTGCAGGTATTATTAACCTCCTGCCGCCTTGCGTGGTCCTCTCGCCCCTCGCACCTCCGAGCGCCCGGAGCCCGCGCACCCGACCGGAGGCTGCCGTCGGCATCGAACCTGTCGCTTTCAGACTCCACGCGACGCCAAGTTTGTAACCTGGCGCTGGCCTGCGCGTGGTTCACTTAGGGGGCCACATGCGAACCCTACCCCTACCCCCCACGATTTCTGAGGGGGAGGGTGGGGAGGGAAGGGGGGGTAGGGGTAGGGTTCGCATGTGGCCCCCTATCACTCGCACGCGCACCACCGTGCGGCCATTGACGAGCAATCCGATCGCACTGTCCCGCGGCCAAAGAGAGCGGGTGACGCGCACTTCCTCGTGTGGCCCGTGCCGGCTTTCGCCTGGGACTGGGTCAAGCGAGGTGGGAGTCTGACGCTGCTGCGGCTCTGGCTCTCTAGGGAAGAACCTCCCTCGGGGCGTACAGCAAGCTTGTGCGTCGTGACAACGTCGGCGTCGGTTTCTGATACCGCTTTCCGATAGCGCAGATCGTTCGATATCGGCCGATTCTGGGCCGACGGCGGCGTTCAACCTTGAATGCTCGCGTTGGAGACGCTTCCGTATCAACGCGGCGCAATCCTACCGTACCATCCTTCGCGTAGTATCTTTGTACATGTGGAGACAGACAAGGCCCGCCCACTAAAAAGACTGAGTTAGAACCATGGGCCTGAGTCCCGACTGGGAAAAAATTGCAACACCACAGCGCACCAATCGCAAATCAGTCGGGGCACCCTCGCAAGCCAATCCGGACACCAGCACAAATCAGTCGCAAATGAATCAAGTCACAATCGCGAACCAATCTGGAGAAAACCGCAACAAATTGAACATGTGAGAAGAACGTGTGGCCCCAACCAGACAGACGGTGTCGGTTCGTGTCGCGCGCGCAGCTGAAGCGAAACTGCGCAGAGGTGATGATGTTTCGGCCGTGGCTAGGGTAACCTCGGACAACATACTCACCCTCGCTCGTCTCGAATTGGCCAGTGTTTGTCCCATGGGCTGCCCCGTGGTGCTGCCGTGGCTGTCCCATCGGTTGTCCCGTGGGTTGCCCTGCGGTTTTCCCGTCGTTGCCCCGTGGATGTCGAGTGGTTGTCTTGCGTCAGTCGCATGCTAGGGCTCCCAACTTCGCGCTTCGCGCTGCGCGAAGCGCGAAGCGCGAATAACTTCGCGCTCTCGCGCCGCCCTCCCAAAGGGAGAACAGGAGGACGAGGAGGAGGGGGAGAAGGAACGAGGACCGCGAAGCGCGAAGCGCGAATAACTTCGCGCCCTCGTGGGAGCCCTTGCGCATGGATGGTCTCGTGGTTGAACCCCCAAACGGCCCAAGAGGACCCTAAACGGCCCCAGACCCCGCCAAGACGGCCAAAAAGAGCCCCAAGAAGGGGTCCATGAGATGCCCCGGCATGGAAACCCGAACCGCCCCAGGACGCCGAGAAGCTAGCCAGAAGCTCCAGGCGACCCCCAAGAGGCAACATATTGCGAAACCGTAAGGAATATTGCGAAACCGTTGACACATTTGCATATATATATATATATATATATATATTATATGTGATTACATATGTGTACGTGTAAGAATTATGCACTGCTTTTCAGTTTGTAGACCTGTGTAGCTAAAGACTTTAAAAAGGTTACCGACATATATCTATGCACATGTACGGTGCGGATTGTATGGATGCGTCTACACAGGCGGCGATTGTCGCGAATACGTCGCTAGCGACGCATGCATATACTGTAGACAGATCATATGTATAGACCTACTACGCCAGGTATGTATGTACGTATGTATATATGAACAGATCGACTGACGCGAGGTCATCGTGAACCGAAAGCGGTGCCCATCCCCCCAAACCTCCTTGTCACAGAAAGGGTGGTCCTACCTGTAAGTACCTCATAGCAAGTAAGCTGGGACAATATCAAACATCAGCAGGGCCACTATAACAGATCATTGAGGCCGCCATCTCAAATCAGTCCCAACTCTGTGGGGACGTAGTCTCATCTGGATCGGGATTCCATTGCACATATTATACGACAACTTCGCAAGTCAATCGGGCCGTTGTGGGGACACCATTGCAAATAACTTGCAAGGGTGTCCCGATCGAATCTGGATGGAATCATATTTTTTTGCGCGATGGTGACTCGCTTGCTCATTTAATGATGAGGTCCCGCATGATTCACAATTGATGCACACTGCGAAACGACGACATCATGGCAACACAACGCCATGACAACTTGACACCGCGACACCATGCCAATTCACCCACAGCAGGCGGGTCCCCAGACGACACGTCTTCACCCATCTTGGCATACAGCTGCACCCGCACGTCACGTACGACACCTACCATGAGGCTACGTTGTCCCAGCAATGTCTCAGAAGCTTTGCGACCGTCAACCCCCAATGTTTGAGAAGAGGCTACAGGTGCACCTTCCAGCCAACTGGGGTAACTCAATGTGTTCCTTAATTTGCGATCGACGAGACTTCAAGGATGTACTGATGAAGAGGCAGCCCTGTCTTCTGGGATCGGGCTGGAGTGAAGCTCGAAACTGTCTCACTGTGCATCGGGGTGGCAGTTCTGTCTTTGACAGCTGTCAGCGCCAGCTGGGACGGATGGGTTCTAGCCACCCATGGGTGTCTTGGTCGTTATGCTGCTTGTCTTGATCTGCTCCTCCCAGTGCTGGCCGTCGAAGTCATGCCAATTTACTTTCAACGCTAAATTCTGAGGCTGATACCCATCCATACAGTATATTGTGATGGCCAAGCCATCAGGGTTGCTACGCGGTGTGTAGAATGGGGAGACGCCGCACCCAGGGCAAAAACGGTGCACGGCCACACGCGTATTGAACCTGTACTCTGTGCAGAGGGACTCCAATTCCTCTCGCACCTCACATGCGAGTCGAGCCGCGGGGGGGACTTCAGGGAAAATCGCGTCTCCACCTGCTAGGTTGACTCGTTCTTCGCCTGCAGGGGCCGGGCAAAGAATCTCAAAGTTGTCCAGCGTCACCACAAAGTGATGGTTCTGACGCATCCAGCAGATCGAGCAATTGCATTTATACACGTCGAGCACCTCGGGAACTCGGCAACGAAAGCGAATGCGGCCACAGTGGCAGCCGCCAGACTGCCAGGTGAAAGACTCGGCCATGGCCTTGGCGTGGGGCCGAAAAAAGGCAAGAGAAGGAGAAGGCGGAGCAGGACGAGGGGGGACTAGCCTCTGAGCCTCAACTGATTACAGCAAGGGCATGGGCGTGAGAGTCGCAGCAAGGGACGCAGGCGCCAGCGTGGGATGCTGATGGAGGAGGTAGGGGGGCGGGCCAGCCCTGGGAGGAGCACGAGGAACCGGACAAGGGTGCCGCAGAGAGGACGAGCAGGAGGACGGGGGGACGAAGAGGGCACGAAGCAAGCAGCAGCGAGCGCGAGGATGCAGGAGGGACCAGAATGGTGATGATGATGATGATGATGATGATGATGATGATGATGGATGATGATGATGATGATGATGATGATGATGATGATGATGATGATGATGATGATGATGATGATGATGAAGATGATGATGATGATGATGATGATGATGATGATGATGATGATGATGATGATGATGATGATGATGATGATGATGATGATGATGATGATGACGAGAGTAAGCATCATCATCATCATCATCATCATCATCATCATCATCATCATCATCATCATCAGAGTGCCGAAGTGCCGCTGCCGTGCGGGAGGCCCCGGCACAGGCAGGGACCACGAGAAGCAACGCAGGGGGGCAGGCCGGCAGAGGAGAGGGGACGCCGCAAGGGCGGCCGCTGCCCTCGCATCGAGCGGAGCGTTCGATGGGAGGCGGGGTGCCAGGGTTGAGTCGGGCAGGTCCCCTTACAGGAGGAATATTCAAAAATGTAAAAGGGATACTCAGGGGACGATTCTTTTACTCTGCTGAATTATTGTTGAGTATGTTTGGGCCATCTGCAATTTATGATCCCGGAATCTGCATGTAGTGATGGGCCTGTTTTCCACCACCACCACTATCAGTTGGAGGAGGAGGAGGAGGAGGAGGAGGAGGAGGAGGTGGAAAACGAGGAGGAGGAGGACAAAGAGGGGGAAGAGGAGGAGGAGGAGGAGGAGGAGGGGCACGGAGGATGGAGGATGGAGGACGGAGGACGGAGGACGGAGGATGGAGGATGGAGGATGGAGGATGGAGGATGGAGAGGAGGAGGATGGAGAGAAAGAGGAGGGGTCGGAGGGCCGAGGAGGCCAGGGGTGCAGAGGGGTACCCGTCGGTCGGAAGAAGTAGGTAAAAAAACATGAAGTAGGAAGGAGGATTAAGTTGATTGAGCCCAGGCCCCCCAGAGAGTAACAAACCACAGCAAAAGCATGCCGATTCTTGAAGTAGGAAGGCGCTTGAAGCAGATTGGGATCTGGGAATCCAAAAATACATACTTTCAAGGACCGGCGTGAACCCCTGGGAAGCTTGCCCAGCCCTGCTGTGCGGGTTGACTGTGCCAGGGTGGAGGGTGGGCACAGGTCTGGCGCCTCCGCCCATGCTCCTCTGTCGTTGTCTGGCCATCGCTCGGACGTTCATTCCCTGTGTTTTTTTCGGTTTCGCGCGGTTTTTTTTTTTTCGCCAAATGATCAAGGATGCTCCTCGATGGTCCTCGCCGAAGGAAAAATGCACACGTCCGAGCGATGCCAAGTTTTCCCTCCTCGCCCGGATCTCTCTTCCTCCCCAGACCCCCTCGGTCATGACCAAATCACGACGGGAGGATTTTCGCGCCGCGCGGAAGACGCGAGGGCTTCGGAGAAGTTTCGTCGCCTTCTGCGAAGGCCCTCTCCTTCTCACTTCCCCCCTCGCTCGCCGCTGAAAGATTGCCAGCGGCCTCCGAGGAGTGGGGCGGGGAGGGCCCGGCCCTAGCACATCGCGCAGCGCTTACGCGGGGGGGTGGGGGGGCCTGTTGGCCGCTGCCGCCGCCGGTCACCAGCATGCGGCCGTCACCGAGCTCGGCCGCTCCGAAGTCGAAGCGCGGCTTCCAGGCCGAGGCCTCGCCCAGTGGGGGCGGGGGGGGGTGCGCGGACGAGGTCGCCACCTCCGCCCAGAGGGCCCATGCCGCCAGTGCGTCGTGAAGAACTCGCGACGGACAGGCTCTGCTCTTGGGCCACCTGCCGTGCCCCGGGGGGGGGGGTGTCAGGAAGACGGCCCAGGAGAAACACCCAGCCCCAGGGAACCGGGAGAGGCCGGTCCCGGGGGACCGGGGTCGACACCACGTCTGGGGCCCGCGTCGGGGTGTTCCCAGAAGTGCCCCTGGCCCAAAAGGTGCCTCCAGGATTTCCAAGGAGGCCCCCATGGCCTCGAGAGCACGAGGCCCAGAGGGCCCCAGGGGCTCACACGTTGAGCGACAAGCTGGCGGCACCTCTGGCCAGGGGCACCTTCAGCACCCCCGGAGATACGTGATGAGCGCACCACGACGTCGAGGCTCTTGCGATGCGGGCGAGGGGGGTCTGCTCCGGGCAGCCGACGCCGCGAGCTGTGCAGGGCGTGGCTCCCTTCCCGTGTACCGGCTTCTGGACGGGGGGAAGCTCGACCCCTATCTCTATGACTCTGGGGAGTGTTCGGCTGGACCCGACCTTCTGGGCCCAACTCTGGGAGATACGTTGGGGGGCGCGCCCCTCCTCGATCGGGGTGCGTCCCAAGAACTCCCTGGGGGTGTATCCAAGAGCTTCCCCCCTGTACCGAGCGGCCCAACTGTTCGGGGGGAGCTCGGGCCTCCTCCTCCTCCTCCTCCCCCTCCTCCTCCTCCTCCTCCTCCTCCTCCTCCTCCTCCTCCTCCTCCTCCTCCTCCTCCTCCTCTGCGACTTCTTATCCCAAATCCTTCCGTGGTGTCCAGCGAGGGCCCCCCGGAAGCCGCATAAACTGCCAGAAGCCTCGCGGCGTGTTTTTGGTCCCGACGCGGGGACGTCAGGGGCCATCGGCCGAGGAGGAGGAGGAGGCGCATGAGGGGCCGATCTCCCACCACCACTACCATAGGTAGGAGAGGGAGGAGGAGGAGGAGGAGGAGGAGGAGGAGGAGGAGGAGGAGAAGGAGGAGGAGGAGAAGGAGGAGCAGGAGGAGGAGGAGGAGAAGGATGAGGAGGAGGCGAGGAGGAGGAGGAGGAGGAGGAGGAGGAGGAGGATTTGGAGGAGGATGAGGAGAGGAAGGAGGAGGCGGAGGAGGAGGAGGAGGAGGAGGAGGAGGGGGAGGGGGAGGAGGAAGGAGGAGGGGGAGGAGGAGGAGAGGAAGAGGAGGAGGAGGAGGAGGAGGAGGAGGGAGGAGGAGGAGGAGGAGGAGGAGGAGGAGGGCCTCCCCGTCCTCCCCATTTTCCTTTGTCCTGTGGCAGCGGTGGTGGAGAATCGGCCCACAAGGGCAGGACGCAGCGTTGGGGGGAATGGCGGGGGGGGCGTGCCGCCGTCTCGGCCCGCCCCTGGAGGTGGGCCGCGGGCGATCGCGGCTGCGGCTGTGTCTCCAGCGTGGCCGTGGTACGGTAGAGGGAAACAATTACTGAACACTCCCCCTCCCCCCAAACTCAATGTTGGCGCGCGCGGGGGAGACTGCGGTCGAAGTGCATCTCATCAGACCCACCGCCAACTTTGAACGGGAGGGGGCGGCGTTGACGGATGAATGTGGCATGTGTTCGCTAATTTGTTCCGAGGCCTGTAGCAGCGTTGCAGTCAAAACTGGTGGCAAGGCTGCACGATGAGGACTGAAAGGGCCTCGGAAGGCCACGCGGACACTATCCGAGCGGGGCGCGGCCAACGAAAGAGGCCAAGGATGGGCCGAAGGGGCAAGGACGCAGGGGAGACGTTGGAAAGTCGCTCATCCTCACTATCAGTGCTGACTGTAGCAGGGCCTACGAGGTAGAATGAGAAGGATCGAAGATGTGCTGCTGCATCCTGAGAGGCCTTCCAGATTGGGTTGGAGTAGATGGGGTCGGAGAATCGCGCCGCATCGCCGATGCATTGGCGTCACGGCGGCGACGTCGGCGTGAAGGAAGTCGGGCTCCACATCGAGCCGCGTTTCCCCTCCCTTCCCCGCCTGGGGGAGGATGACGACGAGGAAGATGAGAATTGAAGATGTGTTGTTGCTGCGCTCATTGAACTGCTACCCTGCTGATGGATCCAGCCCCCAAGATTATCTCTGTCCGTCGGGCCTTTGGCCCCAGTCCAGGGCGGTGTAACGCAGAGGACGGCGGAACCCTTGTAAGTGAAAAGATGGGCGCGAAGGGGGGGGGAGCGATCGACCAGGCTGGCTTCTTGCAGTCGAAAAACGGGGTGTTTGGTTTATTCGGCCGACATCCCGTACATGTTCAGCCCAGAACAGTCTACACATATGTGCTTGTATGCGCGTACGTATGTGCGCACGGACGTACGTACGTATGTATGTGTATGTAGAGAGAGAGGGAGATTCCTGCATCAACATGCCAGCCGCCATCATCAACATCATCAACACCACCATCATCGCCACCATCAACAACAACACCATCATCAATCACACCGTCACCTTCACCAACCGCCGAGCGCTCGCGTCGCCGTCGGCATGGTGGCCGTCGCCATCGAGGCCACGAGGTCCCCAGAGGCTCCCAAGAGCTCCGCAGCGCCCCGAACGCCTTGCACGGCTGCCCCCCTGTGCCCTCCCCCCCGTCGCACGACTGGCGACGGTCCTGCGGGCAACCTGGGCCCTGCGCCGCGCCCCCCCCGTGCCCGGTCCTCCGCCCGCAGCGGCTCTCGTGGGTCCCGGGGCGACGCGACGGCCCTCCAGAACTGCAGGCCTACCTGGTCTGCCCCAAGACCTCGACAGACGCTGGGACATCAAGGCCCTGGTGGTGGGTCGGGCATGTCCTCGTACAGGCGAGCGCATGCTGGAAGAAGCATTGAGCATGGGTAGCGAATCTGCAACGATGGTCGAGGTCTGACTCCTTGAACAGTCCTCCTGTAGAGCGACATGCCCGTCTTAATCTTAAGTCGGGCGTGTCCCCCTACAGGGAATTTTCGACGAAAAATTAAAAATACCCCAAAAACACCCCAAACACGCCAAAAAGATCAAACAATACTAAAAAACATGTCCCCAGACTATGTTTGGAGCATCTTTTTATGTTGTAGGTATTTGTTATGTTTCGTCGAACATCCCCCTGTAGGGGACAGGCCCAACTTAATTTCAATCCTGGTGCTGTGTCTTGGCCCTCCCGGAGGGAAGGGCGGGGCCCCGGAGGGCCCCAAGGATCTCGAAGGCGGCAGCGTAGGCTGCGGGAGGGACGGACGCAAGCGCCCCCTATGGAAGCCTCTCTTCTCGGGTCGGGCGAAATGGGGGGATAGCAAAGGGGGGGGGTGAGAATCAGCTCACGCAGCACGTAGCCGACTTTCCCGGCGCCTCCCGGCGCCGGAGGCGGCTATGTATCGAGGAATGGGCCCTCACCGAAACCGGCTGCATGCAGCAAATTTCGACCCCCCCTTTCCCAATCCCCCCTTTTCGTCTGGCCCGATCTTCAGAGGGGCCCAGGGACACACAAATAGATAGACACCAATCCCACGATCCACAATCTTTATATATATATATATATCTATATATATATATATTATCTACATATATATAGATAATATATAGATGTTATGGGTCTTCGTCTTCCCCCCGCTTCCCATGTTTTGACCAGATTTCCTGGGAGTCGACGATTCATTGTGTCAGTGCTATTTTTTGTTGTCCCTCCTGGCCGCCCCCACGAGAAGGACCCCAGAGCCCTACGAGACGCCCCCGAGGAGCCCCCAAGAGGCACCAACAGGCCCAAAGATGCTTCGACGAACGCTCCAAGAGGCTGCTGAGAGGCATCCCAGGACTCCAGTATGCCTCCAATATTTTGGACGCCCGAAATGGGCACGGAAAGCATGGGTACAATGCCCAGCAACAAGTGTTGTCCCAAACCAACAGCGGCCGCTGTTGGGCAGGCAGGCCGCGGCGGCGCGGACAGCGAGTCCTGTTCAAAATGAGCAGGAACTGCTGTTGGGCATTGTGCCCATTCTTTCCGTACCCATCTCGTTCGTGCAGAAATATTCAGGAAGAAAAGAAACACACAGACACAATTAATCCTCGATTCCCAAGAACAGATGGGAAAATATGGGAAGTGGGGGGGGGAGACAGAAACCCAGAAAATGTGGAAACATATGGGGAATGTATGTATTTGTGTGTATTCATGTGTGTGCCCTGGGGCCCCTTCAAATGTGTCCTTGCCTTGCCTGTGCTCTCTTCTGGGAGCCGGCGGCGTGGCGCAAGCCTCTTTAGCAGCTGCAGGAGAAAACCACCGCATGAGGAGGAGGAGGAGGAGGAGGAGGAGGTGGAGGAGGAGGAGGGAGGGAAGGTTTGGGGAGGTGGAGAGGAGGAGGAGAGGAGAGGAGGAGGGAGGAGGAGGAGGAGGAGAGGAGGAGGAGGAGGAGGAGGAGGAGGAGGAGGAGAGAGGAGAGGAGGAGGAGGAGGAGGAGGAGGAGGAGAGGGAGGAGGTGTCCGCCCCCCCCCCAAAAAGGGGCCCCCCGACCGCTTCTGCCTGGGCCGGTGGGGGTGCGGCGGGGGGGGGGGCGCAGAGTGCCTCGGCGTCCTCTCCGCAGCCTTAGGTGTCCTATCCTCTGTCGCCTCGTCCGCTCTCGTTTTCAACCTCGCGCTTCGTGTTACTCCTCCTCCCGTCTCCTCCTGCCTCCTCCTCCTCCTCCGTGTTCCTCACGTCCTCGTCTCGTCCTCCTCCTCGTCCTCCTCCTCGTCCTCCTCCTCCTCCTCCTCCTCCTTCTTCTCCTCCTCCGCCAAGAGCATCTCGGGATGCAGCGCCCGTGCTCGCCTTGGCCAGGGCCCCCCCCCGCGCCCCGCGGTGCCCCGCCCCCTGGCAGGCGCCGTGCCGTCCCCCCCACCCGCCGGGCGGCGCGCGGGGGTCGACGCGCCTCGGCCACCCTGTGCCACTGGCCCTCGCGCGGCGGGGGGGGCCAGCGCGCGGGAAAGGGGGGGGGAGGCAGGAGGAGGCAGGAGGAGGAGGAGGAGGAGGAGGAGGAGGAGGAGGAGGAGGAGGAGGAGGAGGAGAGGAGGAGGAGGAGGAGGAGGAGGGGAGGAGGGGGAGGAGGAGGAGGAGGAGGTGGGCGAGGGCAGGTAGGTTCGGGGTTCGAGCGTGGCCAAAGGCGAGCGGCACTGGCCCTCGCGCGGCGGGGGGGCCCGCGCGCGGGAGAAGGAGGGGGGAGGGAGGGTGTGGAGCGTGGCCCAGAGGCGAGTGCGACGACCAGTCGCCTCTCTCTGGGGAGGGCGGAGGTCACCTGGCCGAGGGCGGCGGAGAGGAGGAACAGGCGGCGGGCTTGGGGGGAGGAGGGGCGTGGGGGGGGAATGGAGGGGCGGAAGTGGTCAAGGGCTGCGAAGGGGAGCGCATTTCTCCTCCTCCGATCCTAAGCGACCTCCATCTCCCCTCCTGTGCTTACCTGGCTCCTCCTCATCCTCCTCCTCCTCCTCCTCCTCCCCTCCTCTTTTTCTCTTTCTTTTTTCTCCCTTTTTTCCTCCTCTTTTTCCCTCCTCTTTTTCCTCCTCCTCCTCCTCCTCCTCCTCCTCCTCCTCCTCCTCCTCCTCCTCCTTCGCTCGCATCTCGTCTTTTACCTCTTCTTCCTTCTTCGTCTGTCGTTGCCGCATGACTCCAGCGTAGAGGGAAACGGGCTCCGCAACGAGCGGCGTCGCCGATGCATCGGCGATGCGGCGCGATCCTCCGACCCCTCTACTCCGACCCAATCTAGGAGGCCTAGAGACCTATGGGGGGGGGAGAAAGGTGCACCTCTCGGGCCCGACAGAGGCCCCCGCTCCTGGGCCCCAGAGGGCACCCGAAGGGGCCCCTTTTCTGCAGCCCTCGCTGCCCCCAATTGATCGCTCCCCCCCCCCGTTGCGCGACGCCCAAAGCCGGCAACCTTCTACCCCGACGGGGGGGGGGGGAGAAGCCTCTGCTAGCCGCACGCAGCCGCCACCGCGGTGCTGGGCCACGGCGCGGTGCAGCGAGGAGGAGGAGGAGGAGGAGGAGGAGGAGGAGGAGGAGGAGGATGGAGGAGGGGAGGAGGAGGGGGAGGAGGAGGAGGAGGAGGGAGGGGGGAGGAGGAGGAGGAGGAGGAGGAGGAGGGGGAGGAGGCGGAGTCCCAAGACGGCCCGGGATACTCAGCAGGGAAATGGCGCCGCATCGCCGATGCATCGCCGATGCATCGGCGACGTCGGCAATGCCGCGACGACATCGCGGTGGAGAGGATCGGGCTCCACGTCGAGCCGCATCGCCGATGTATAGGCGTGGCGGCGCGATCCTCCGACACAATCTGGTTACGCGGATCCCGCCTGGCAGTCCTATCAGGAGAGGCTAAGACTAGAGGGAGTAGGTCCATACGGAGACCGAGGGCTCCGTATGGACCTACTCCATATGGTTTGGGACTCCCATCAGGAGACGCTAAGTCCAGACGGAGTAAATCCATACCCGTCGGTCGGAAGGAGTAGGTCGAACGGTAGAACCATGAAGAACGAAGGCAATGGAAATACATACGGCTTCCGCCCACCCCCTGAAGAGAAGAGAAGAGGGAGAACTGCTCGACTCATCAAGCAGGAAGGCGCCTAACGTAGACTGGGACCCAGGGATCCAAGTACGCCTACTTTCACCAACGCGCGCGTATGGACTTACAGGAGGAGCTCGATGACAAGAGACCTTCCACAAGAAGCCCAACCCCGAGACCGCAGGACGCCCATCGATCTTTGGCGTGGGAACGTCACGCTGTCCATAGCAAAGCCATCGACACCCACGAAACCCAGGGCACACTGGAGGCAAGCAGGGTGTTTCTTGGCATGGGATCCCATTGCATAATTCGCTGAAATTGCCCCCCTGGTTTTCAGGTCATAAATAACTCGCCTCTCTGCTAGCCTTTCGGGACAATTCAGGCACCCCCGGGGCGCCCTCGGCGCGGTGCAGCTGCTGGATGGCATCCCGAGGCTGGAACACCTCCGAGAGCCGACGAGCACGCAGAAAAAAATCCTCGAAGTTCAAAGCCGAAGCGTTCCACTGAATCCCAGGGCACCCTGGAGGCCAGCAACATGTTTCTTGGCATGGGTTTCCGCTGCGCTCCGTGTGCACTGGGCCTCCGCCGATGATGGGCCGATTTTCCACCACCACTACCATGGGTAGGAGAGGGAGGATGAGAGGGAGGAGGAGGCGGAGGCGGAGGAGGAGGAGGAGGAGGAGGAGGAGGAGAAGAGGAGGAGGAGGAGAGAGGAGCGAGGCGGAGGAGGAGCGGAGGAGGCGGAGGAGGAGGAGAGAGGAGAGAGGAGGAGGAGGAGGAGGAGGAGGGCAGGAGTGAGGAGGAGGAGGAGGAGGAGGAGGAAGGAGGAGGCGGAGGAGGAGAGGAGGCGGAGGAGGCGGAGGGGTGCCGGAGGAGGAAGGTCGGAGGAGGATGAGGAGGAGAGTGAGGAGGAGGAGGAAGGAGGAGGAGGAGGAGGCGGAGGAGGAGGAGGAGGAGGAGGAGAGAGAGGCGGAGGATGGAAAATGGGCCCACCATCCGAGAGGCCCGGAGACCCCTGCGGACGCGCCATCGCCCCGCGGCCCCGGGCCTCCGCCCCCAGACGCCACAGGTCGTTGAGCGCGCGCCAGCCCGGCCCCTGGCCGCCCGCCAGCCACACGGCGCCCCCCGGGCCGCCGAACAGCGCGTGCTGCACCCTGGCGGGGGGGCAGGGCCGACGGACCGCTCGCCCGCGCTCCGGGCGTCCCTGCCCTGTGTGCATGGTTTTCGGGCTCGCGCGCGTGCATGTTTGCTCGCACGAGGATCCACAAAGGCTCCCCGATGCGTGCATGGCTTTCGCAGGACGGTCCGGGATACTCCTCTGATGGGCGTGTTTTCCACCGCCACCACCATAAGTTGGAGGGGGGGCGTCCTCCTCGTCCTCCTCCTCCTCCCTCCGATCCTGGGGGCCCTTCGTCATCCGACTCCTTGCCTCCCCTCTCCTCCTCCTCCTCCCTTCCTCCTCCTCCTCCTCCTCCTCCTCCTCCTTCCCCCCTCCAACTTCTGGTGGTGGTGGGAAACAGGCCCGTCATCCTCGATGGTCCTCGCCGGCAGGAAGGACAAAAAGTGCACACGCCCGCGCGATGCGCGACGAGAGCCGCGCCAGGGCGGCGCACTGGCGAGAGGAACGGCGACGGACGAGGGCGCGCGCAGGCACGCGCGCAGATCCGCCACCGAGCCGCCGGGCACGGGGTGGGCGTGCCCTCCGGTGGGTGGTGTCGGACACCCTGGACCCAGAAGCGAACGTTTCCACCTCTCGGGGGGGCACATCTCAGCGAGCGAATTCGCTGTCGGGGGCGCCTGTCCCTGGGCGGCTGGAAAGTTTATACCCCTACGGTGCCACCGTAAGGGTATAAACTTTCCAGCCGCCCTGGGACAGGCGCCCCCGACAGCGAAAAAGTTTATTCTATACCGTTCTTCGCCCGTTGGACATCTTTTACTTCCGCCGCCCTCCGCCGAGCTTCCGCCCAGCTGCCGCGATTTACTTCCGCCGACCCTCCGCCTCTCCCTGTCCACCGCCCTCCGCCGAGGAAGAGGCGACAGCCTCTTCGATCCTCGAAGGCCGGGCTGGGCGAAAGGGTGGGATAGCAAAGGGGGGGGGGGTTGAGAGTCAGCTCACGTAGCTGATTATCCCAGCGCCTCCCGGCGCTGGAGGCGGCCATGTACCGAGGAATGGGCCCCTCGGTGAGGCCGAAACCAGCTGCATGCAGCAACTTTAGTAACCCCCCCTTTCCCTAGTCCCTATCCCCGCCTTTCTTAGAACGCCTCTGGCGTTTTCCCCCAGTCTCCACGCGCAAATCCCTCCTAATCCCTCACTGAAGAAGAGAAGCTCCACCTCCTACGCCCCCTCATACTTTCGCCTGAAGTAAGTCCTCCTCCTCCTCCTCCTCCTCCTCCTCCTCCTCGTCCTCCTCCTCCTCCTCCTCCGCCCGATCGACGCCGTCTTCGACGGGCCCGGGGCCCCTAGCTTTCAGATCTCCCCGGGCTTCTCGCGGGCTCCCCTGGACCTTCGCGCGCCCTCTCGCGCGACGTTTCGGGCCCCACGGGGAGCCAAAGACGGGCCTCAAGAGGGACTCGAGGCCCTCAGGAGGGACAAAAGAGGGCCCCGAGACGCCTCAGGGTCGCCCCGAGACGCCCAACATGGCCCCAAGACGACCCAAGAGGCATCCGAAACGCGCAACGAGAGCCTCAAAAGCCCTCCGATGTTCTGTTGGTTTTTGCATGATTTGGGAATCCTCGACCCCCCGAGCTCCCGCCGCCCCAAGACGGCCCAAGAGGCCCCCAAGACCGCCCCAAGATGTCCCAAGAGGCCCCTAGGAGAAACCCAACACGGCCCGAGGGCCGACAGCGGCCCCCCATAAGAAGGCCCCCGAGAGGCCCCCCCGCGACACCCCAGCGAGCATCCTGGAGGCCTACAAACCGCAACCCAGGCACAGTGGCGGGATGGGCCGAAGGCCACTGGATCCGCCGCCCCCTGCTTGCAGGGGTGCACGGCGTGCTGGACGAGTCAGGTTTTGGTTTTGGTTCTTTTTCTAAAAGAACTCCCCAGTGGGCTTCGGCCCGTCCCGCCGGCCACCCGCAAATTTCCGAAAATCCGTATGTCAATGCCCAAAAACGGCCGTTTCGCTCGGGGACTAATCCACCTCCCCCCACTCTCCTAACTGATCACTGCGAAGATGGCCCAAGATCGGCCCTCCCAAGTCGCCCACAGAGATGGTCCCGATACGGCTCTGCCTCACGCTCAAGAACGGCCCCAAAGAGACGCTCCTCCAAGACTTGCCACACACCCACCTGCTCGGTTTCCCCCATAACAACGGATGGACCCTCCCATACACAAGAGGCGTACCCAGTATTAGTTTGTTACCACCTAGCAGGCACACGTCCACATGATGTGTGACTCCTCCAAGATGAGTCCGAAGAGGCCAAAATTGTTGATTTTCCCTCGTGTTTTTCGATGTTCCGACTGGCCGAACACTTTGGCGCTGTCATCTAGCGCGGGGTCCCACTTAGTGAGACCGACCCCCGGACTATCACGAAGACGGCCCAAGAAGCCCCCAAGATCGCCCAAGAGGCCCCAAAGAGAGCCCCATGATGGCCCAAGTGGCCTCCAAGATGGCCCCTAGAGGGCCCCAAGAGGGCCCAAGAGGCCTCCAACACGCCCAAGATGGCCTCCCAGACGCCCAAGATGGCCTCCAAGACGGCCCTGGAGCATTCCAAGCGGGCCCCAAGTCGACCCATAGAGGCCCCCCAAACGGCTTCCGACGGCTTCAGACGTGCCAGGAACCCACCAAGATGGCCGAAGTTGGCTCGAAGCTGGCCCGAGACGGCCCAAAAAGCCCCAAAGATCGCCCAAAGCTTGCCCAAGAGGCCTCCAAGACGGCCAAGATGACCTTCAAGATGCCCACGTGTTCCCCTAAGGCTTTCCAAACCGATTCGGGGAACACGTGGTCCGATAGCTTGGCAGGTCTGGCCTCAACGTTCGGCCACATAGGCGCTTCCAAAAAGGCAGGGGGCGGCGGTGATTCGCCGTAGGCGTCTTCGATCCGCCGCCCCCCGTCGATTCATCGCAGGGGGGGGCCTGGCGCGCTGGACTTCTTACGGTTTGGTTGTAGCTCTTGTTCCAAAAGAACTCCCCCTGGCGCTTCGGCCCGTCCCGCCAAGCTCGCCCAAGATGGTCCAAGATGGCCTCCAAGTCCGCCCAATATGGTCCAAGATGGTCTCCAAGTCGGCCCAGGAGGGTCCAGGATACCTCCAAGTTCACCCACAAGACGCCTCCAAGACGACGGCCCAAGAGGCCTCCAAGAGGTCCTTGAGGAGGGCCCGAAGAGACCAAACTCATTGATTTGCCTTAGGTTGTTGAAGGATTTTGGCATGTGCCTCTTCTCGGCATTCCGACGGCCCGAGACGGCCCAACACGCCGCCAAGATCGCCCAACATCGCCAACGAGGCCTCCAAGAGGGCCCCACGACGGCCCAAGAGGCCTCCAAGACTGCCCCAAGAGGGCCCCAAGACGGCCCAAGATACATCCAAGACGCCCACGATGGCCTCCAAGACGGCCCCGAAGCGCCCCAAGAAGACCCCAAATCGTTTCAGAGAGGCCCCCAAGACGGCTCCCGACGGCGTCAGACGGGCTAGGAACCCACCCAGATGGCCGAAGTTGGCTCGAAGCTGGCCCAAGACGGCCCAAGAGGCCTCCAAGAGGGCCTCCTGGAAGGCTAGGCTTTTCAAGGATTTTGACATTTGCGTCTTTTCGACCTTCCGACGGTCCGAGACGGCCCAAGAGCACCCAACGATCGCCCAAAGATCGCCCAAGAGGCTTCCAAGATGGGCACAGAACGGCCTAAGAGGCCTCCAAGACGGCCCCAAGATGCCCCCAAGACAGCCCAGGAGGCCTTTAAGACACCCAAGATGGCCTCCAAGACGGCCCTGGAGCCTTCCAAGAGAGCCCCAAGTCGGCCCAGAGAGGCCCCCCAAACGGCTTCCGACGGGCCAAACGCCCACCAAGACGGCCGAAGATGGCCCTAAGATGGCCCAAGACGGGCCAAGAGGCCTCCAGGGCCTCCAGGAAGGCCAGAAAAAAAATTAGCCTGACGAAGGACCCAACCATGTGCAGTTGTGAATACCGAAATTGTGAATACCATCTTCACTCGCGCTCCCTATGGGGCCACGAACCGTGTGAGGGGCGTGCCGAAATTCGTCACGGGGTACACAATACGAACAAAGACGGTCGGTCTGAGTGCGAGAGGCTAAGAACGGGTGAGCCTGAGCGCGAGTGAGTCTGATTGTGAATGAGTCTGCGTGCGAATCAGTCTACGTACATAAATGTGGACGCTCCTCCCGAGGATCGCGCCCGCTTCCTTCCCTTTTTTCTCTGCATCTTTGCCTGTGCGCGCCGATGTCCATGGCTGCTGGCGCGGCGCCGCACGGAATCCCCGCGACGCGCGCTGGTCGCCCCGAAGGGGTCCCGGCGACGCGCGCAGGTCGTCCGCTGTGCGCAGCGGGGAGAGCGAGCAGGCTGGCTGATAGCGGGCAAGCCTGTGGCCGCTGGGCAGAGAGACGACGGGGGCGAGCGAGGCATGGAGCCCCCCATGGGGCCACGAAGCGCTGTCCTGGGTGGGGGAGACGCATGCGAACACCCCCACTGGAGCCTTCGGTGGAGCTCCCTATGGGGCCACGAAACGCTGTCCTGGGTGGGGGAGACGCATGCGAACACCCCTATTGGGACCTTCGGTGGAGCTCCCCATGGGGCCACGAAGCGCTGTCCTGGGTGGGGGAGACGCATGCGAACACCCCTATTGGGACCTTCGGTGGAGCTCCCCATGGGGCCACGAAGCGTTGTCCTGGATGGGGGAGACGCATGCGAACACCCCTACTGGGACCTTAGGTGGAGCTCCCTATGGGGCCACGAAGCGCTGTCCTGGGTGGGGGAGACGCATGCGAACACCCCCACTTGGGCCTTCGGTGGAGCTCCCTATGGGGCCACGAAACGCTGTCCTGGGTGGGGGAGACGCATGCGAACACCCTTATTGGGGCCTTCGGTGGAGCTCCCGATGGGGCCACGAATCGCTGTCCTGGGTGGGGGAGACGCATGCGAACACCCCTACTGGGACCTTCGGTGGAGCTCCCTATGGGGCCACGAAACGCTGTCCTGCGTGGG